TGCGACAATGTAAGGAATAGTTCACCAAAACATGAAAATGTACTCACCCTCAGGCTATCCGAGATGTAGACAAGTTTGTTTCTTCATCAGATTTGGAGAAATGTAGCATTGCATCACTTGCTCACCAATGGATCCTCTGCAGTGAATGGGTGCCGTCAGAATGAGAGTCCAAACAGCTGATAAAAACATCACAGAGTAATCCACAAGACTCCAGTGCATCCATTAACAGAAGAAACTTTCACTGGTGAAAGCATTACTGGATTGAAAGCTGGTGGATTTGTTTCTTACAAACTCTCAGCTTTTCACTTCACAAAACCTTAATTGATGGACTGGATTACTTGTGGATTATTGTGATGTTTTTATCACCTGTTTGGACTCTCATTCTGACGGCACCCATTCACTACAGAGCATCCATTGCTGAGCAAGTGATGTACATTTACCAAATCTGGTGAAGAAGCAAACTCATCTACATTTGTTTTGGTAAACTTTTCCTTTAAAATGAATCAGCTGTTATTAAAATGCAAAGTGAAAACTGTAGAGCATTATTTAACTTGAAGTTAACCTTTAAAAACATGAACTGTAGGGTTCATTAAACGCTAGTTTGTGATATGCGGGAATCAGCCGCAGCCTGAGTGGAAAGACATGACTTGATCATCAACAAAAAATGACTGGCATTTATATTTCCCAACAAAAACCTAATGATCCTTATCGGAACTTCTTCTTTTTTTTGCCTCCCCAGAACTTTAGTTATCATCATATGCTCTATACCGTACAATCCATTAGGAAAACTACTATCTAACATCACATTCAGCACTTAGCTAATTGAATCTTTCACTTTTCTACAGACACAGGCTATACGAATACCAACTGTTTGTAATTGGATAAATGCAAAAACGGCAATAAATGCTGTTTCTAATGGCAAAACCTAGATGTCTGCAAATATGGCCAGAAGCTGCCACTGCCTGCTTGTGCTGAACCGTACTGGGTAAGTTTTGCTTCACTGCCTCCTCTTATGATTTGATAACTTTTTTGGGGGCTATAATGCTGGCTTTGCACATAGTGAGATAACTGTGACCCTCTATGGAACTGGTCAATTGGGTAAAAGAACTGCTGCAACAAGCATTTATGCAAGGCCACAATTTAAGAAGTAACAGTTGATTCTTGCATGTAGGGAAAAGAAATCAGCAAATTAGTTGAGAATTTGGTGTTAATTGAATCAAAAGAAAATTTACAGTAGATGAGCAATCAGTGTCGTATTGAGTGTTGTATCAACAACTGCAATCTTATGTAAACGTGGGGTATATATGGTGCATATATAATGGTGTCTTAAAGTCTGAGACCTCTATATAATATATTAGCATATAGTGAAAATATTAGCCTGAATATATACTGAAACTATTTATATGCACTAGTATTCACAAAATGGAAATATGATATATTTTTTAAAGAAATTAACATTTTTATTTAGAAGGATGCATTAAATTGACTGCAAGTGACAGTACAGATTTCAACTTCACTGTTTTCAACTGTAATATTAAGAAATATTTCATGACTAACAAAGCTGCATGTTAAAAGATTTCCAAAGGATTGTGCAACACTGATCGCGAAGCTGAATTTTCAGCATTACTCCAGTTTTCAAAGGAATTAATGAAATTTTATAGTCTAACAATATTTCATAATATTGCAGATTTTGTGTACTTTGATCAAATAAATACAGCATGCAGCCTTGCTTGGTGAACATACAGTATAGGAGACTTTCAAAAGCATAAAAACATCTGATCCCAAACTTCTGAATGGGATATAATTTTGTCTTTCCTTTTGCTTTATTGAAAGCATGACGTTAAGATGATATAGACTGTTGATGCATGTTATCAGCGTGATTTACAAATGTTCAGCATCTTGTGCTTCAATGAAATGAAGAATTTTTGACTTACCACACGTCACAAACTGGCTTATTTGAGTAGAGAAAGTATTTACTTCAGAATATATTTCCTATTCATTTTATATCATAACATTCATTTGATTTAAATATTTTAAAAGGCAAACTAATTCTATTTACTTCCAGACTTTAATTTTTTTTTTATCTCAGACCAGAATAATCCAATCAGACTTTCAGTGCAAAGTCATCCAGTGGCATTCAGAAAGACAAAGATACGGAATGAGCTTCAAGACTGCTGGTTCATTAACTGATTGCCTTTAGCTACAATTTAATTTGTTCACTATGATAGAGATCACTGGTAGACGGGGGATGAGGGCTATTGATTCCAGATGATTTGTCCTTATAGAGCAGACTGGGGTACGTATGTGTGTGAATCACAGTGAAATGTGCTAATTGAAGAATGCTCAGGACATCTGTTATGGGGCGAACGAGACGCGAGACGTCCGGATCCATCTGCAAAGCTTTTATTAAAAGACGTGCTCACAAACACAGGCAGGGTCGAAACACCAGCGAACAGGTATGGTACGGGCAAAACACAAGAGCAGTCCAGTAAACAGGCGTGGGTCGATCGAGAGTGAACAATATCCAACAGGGCAAGGCAAAGAGATAATCCAGGTACATAGCAATAATCCTGGCAGGGGCAAACAGAGTCCGAAACAGCAAGACAAAAAGGGTAATCTGAAAACACAGGCAAGAATCTGAAAACAGGCAAGGCGAGACTATGACTAAACTAGGAGAACTAGCTTCATAAAGTGCTATCACTAGGAGAGTAATAAACGCAGACAATACTCGGCGACTAGAGCGGTATCTGGGTGGATGTTATATAGTGTGTGTGATAGCTTTCAGGTGAGCGTGTGATAAAAAAAAAAATATATATATATATATATATATATATATATATGAAGTTAAACAGAATAAAAATGAGAAATTCTGCCTTGGAAACTACGGGAAATGCAATTTTTTTAAAATGTATATATATAGAAAATTTTATTTTAAACAATGGTTTCTGGTTTTAGGTAACTTATAACCCTGCATTACGTTACCTTTTGCCATGGTACAATGTATTGTGTGTTAAATACTGTATATGTTTAAAAAAATACTCTACATGCAGGATGATTTGAAAGTTATATGATTTAAATTTCAATGCAAATACCTGCCAGTTCCAAAATCAAATAACCAAAAAGTGGATTAAAGTTTTGTATTGAACTACAATAAAAGAAAATTGGACATCTCCACATCTCTTTTAAAGCTTTTGCACTCTAGCATTTTGTGTTTGTTTCTTACATAGGGAAGGGGCTCATAAGATGTTCATTGGGTGTTTAAAAAGTAGGGAAATAATTATTAACACATAATTTTATAAATAGATTTTTTTCACATTTTATTCAGAAATGAGCTAATGCAAAGAACAAAAAACTTGTAATTTGATACATAGAGAAAAAAATGCTTTTGATATCTGCACACAGTCATGTTAAAGAAAAGCTGTCTAAACATAACATATGGGATGTTAAGATGAACTAATCTTCGAATTCGGTTCAACTGAAGCGTGCCAAGGCTTAATCCTCATTCATATCACTACAATGTGCTTCTCCTTTATAATCGAGTGGATGGTGGCATTGCACATGGAGTTTCATGTTAGCTGTTAAAATAAGCAGAACTAATGAATGGCAGCTATCATACCAGCCTGTGTCTTCACAATTATTATGTATGCTTATGATGAAAGCTCAGCTGCTTCACTTGTGTGGCAAATTCATCATATTCCTTTCAGCATACTACTTTTTCATTCTTCTATACCTTCACTAACACCTTCATGTCATCTATTATCACATTTTGATAAATTTGCCAAATGTGTCAAACTGATACTTTTGTAACACTTTATGTTTGCTATCATCAAGTCATTAACAAGTATAAAATATACAAATGCAGATAAATGACAGATACATTTTAACAGATACATTCTATACAGTAAATGCAAAAAGGCTTCATCCTAAACATTTGCAATTGTATTAAATCTACAGTTTGTATCTCCTATGAAAATAAAAAAAGAGTCTTCTCACGGCATGCAGCCGTGTAACTTTTGGATCAAAATGGTAAATTTAATCCAGACTTTTATATGTCACTAAAGTAGTTGCTTTACAATGTAAATTTGACCAAACGTCTGTATATTCCTCAGGATACCACCGGGATTTAAGGGTTAAGTTATGGTTGTTTTGTTATTAATGAAGGATATCATAAAATGTTACTCATATTTTAGTGTTTTATAAGTTGAATATTTCACAGTCACATGATTGTATAGTTCTCAGGATCTTAATTATTCAATGGAAATGCTTAGAAGCTTTTAATAAGCTAAAACAACGGTGAACACTTTACAAAGGTGTTATTTGTTAACATCCGTTAATGTATTAACTGACATTAACGAACAATGAACAATACATTTATTACACTTATTCATTTTTGTCAATGTTAGTTAAAAAATCAAGTAGTTCACTGTTTACTCATGTTAGCACACAGTGCATTAACTAATGTTAATGATAATAATGCATTAGTAAATGCTGAAACTAACATTAACTAAGACTAATAAATGCTGTAGAAGTATTGTTAATTCGTGGTTCATGGTAACTCATGTAGTTAACTAATGAACCTTATTGCAAAGTGTTGCCAAACAAAGATATATCTTTTATTTTGTAATAATTGACCAATGCAAAGTTTTAACATTTTATCGGTCAATTATTCTAAAATGTGAACTATAGTAATTCTAAAGAATGAACCTATGTGTCCATACTTTTGACTCAGTGATGCCTTTCAATCTGAAAGAATGACTTGCATATGAAGAGTGTACATAGATACAAAGGCACTAAATGAGGAGGCGTGTTGCTTTTGTTTGTAGTACTATCACCTGTGCACTCTGCAGCTGCAGGTGGGGTTTCAGTGACAGGTGGTGTTTGGGAGAGGGAGGGTGGTTTACTGTGGGGCCTCGAGGGCTGATGGGGGAAATGCTTTGCCTCGGAAGTATTGTGCCTGACACATGCTCCGTCTGCTGCCTCTGCGCCGACCCCTGCCTCTTTTGTTATGCTGATTAAGGCAACAGGCACCGTCTTTTGTTCAAGTCAGAGGACGCGAGAGAGAAAGAGAACGAGCACGGAGGGATGGCCACGCTCCCTGTGACCTATAGTCTTCTCTTCTTTAACGTCACAAGGTGCGCGCAACAAAAACGAGCCAGCATCGGCTGAGTTTCTCACATCGCGACGCGAGCGAGCTGAGGTTGTCAGAACTCTCCCGTCCACATACGCTGGCACTGGACTTGTGTATGCAATTTCTAACTGCCGGGAGTTCAATGCATATTGTGAAAAAGCGATTCAGCTAACTCTTAAAATGACTTGAAGGCGGGATGCGCGAAAAGGGACGCAGAGGCTATTCATAGAAGCTGGCCGCCGTCGTCATGCAACTGATGGGGGAAACGTAAAAACAGACTCTGAAGAGAACTTAAAACGGACTCTTCACGCAAGACAAGCACAAACACCGGGAAAAGGAGCTGATCGCTGCCGCAAACATTCCGCTGGTTTCAGAACTTGGACAGCTCCCTCGTTCAGCCGCCTACACAATCGACCGTGTGAGGAAGGATTCATCGAAACTACGGCACAAACCCGACTCGGTCCACATCGTGACGCCATGGCAGGTGCACTTCAGGGAGAGAAGCTGCTTTTTGAGAAGTTCTGGCAGGGCACGTTCAAAGCCGTGGCGATGCCGAGACCCGAGAGCATCATCGTCGCCAGCATCACCGCGCGGAGAGCCGTGACAAAGTGAGTTCTTTAGCCTGCGCAGTCGTTTTGTTTCAGAATGCCATTGAATAGCTTGCAAAGTGCTTCACATTTGAAGCATCAGACTTATTTCTCCTTTTTGAAGTGCCAGATATAAAACACATGGTAACACTTTATTTTAAGGTGTCCTTGTTACACGTAACACGTGCTTACTATTATAATAACAACAATGAATGATGCATAATTACATGCAAGCAACCCTAACCATATAATAAGTGCATATAGTTAATTGATATTACTCACATGTATAATTACACTGTACCAAGTACGCCTTAAAATAAAGTGTAGGCTAACCAAACACATACACGTTTCTTTAATTGGTGACAATTTATTCCTGACATTTGTATGGAGTCCCTTTGTATTTGTTTTGTTCACCATGTGTTTTATATTGGGATCTCAGTACACTCTTAAAAATAAAGGTGCTTAAAAGGTTCTTCACAGCGATGCCATAGAAGAACCATTTTTGGTTCCACAAAGAAGCATTCAGTCTCTTTCTTAGCTTTTTATAATCTGAAGAGCCTTCTTTTCGCCACCAAGAACGTTTTGTGAAACAGAACGGTTCTTCAGATGTTAAAGGTTCTTTATGGAACCATTTAGACAAAAAGGTTCTTCTATGGCATCGTGAAGCACCTTTATTTTTAAGAGCTAGCATTCTCATTTGGTTGCACTCACTTGTGTTCATGCAACTTTTTGTCCCATTTTTATATCACGCAAACACTGAGTGCGAATTCCTCCTGTGCTCTACATTCATCATTGGCCGTCCTTCACTGGAGGCCAGTCAGTTTCACTTGTGCACACATAAGTGCACAGCAGAGCGAGAGGCTACATAGAGTCCTAATGAATCAAGTCAGAGTAGAGCCCTTCATCATGCCCTTAGGTTAGGACATGAAGATGATCTCAGCGCCTTCTCCTTCACCCATGAATTAGGAGGCATGGCAGCGTGCCGAATAGAGAGAAAAGGCGAAATAGCAATAGAGAAACCAGGGCTTTGCTTTCCTTTCCTTCATGTCCTGTTAATCAGGATCAAGCCTTACTCCTCGCTCATTACGCCGGTAAGGAGTGCGTAACTGATTTGTGATTCACTCTTATGAATGTATCTTTCCATGCACTGTGTAACTCATCTTGCAGTCTCAGGGAGACTGGAGTTGCAGTGCAGAAGCACAAAGGTTCTATTCAATGTTCAATGTTCAATTTATTTATAAAGCACTTTGAAACAAGCTTAGTATACCAAAGTGCTGTACACAGTTACATTGATCCAATCACACAATAGAGTAAACACGTCATTAGAAAACCACAGTCACAAAACACCGAAAGCATGGGAAAAAAGACAAGTTTTTAAAAGACTTTTAAACTCAGACACTGAAGAAGCTATTCTGATGTATAATGGCATATTGTTCCATAGCTTGGGGCCAGCAACAGCAAAGGCTCTGTCACCCCTGCATTTCAATCTAGCTCTGGGAACCAAAAGCCAATGCTTAGTCTGTGATCTGAGTGATCTAGCTGGCTTGTGTACTATAATCAACTCAGAGAGATATGGAGGAGCAAGATTGTTTAGAGCTTTGTACACGAAGAGCAGAATTTTGAATTGGATGCGATAATTAATCGGTAACCAGTGCAATGAACGCAAGATTAGGCATGATGTGATTCCTTCTATTGGAGTCTGTTAGCGTAATAACTGCTCGATTAATAGTCGAAATCTTCCGCAAACCTGCTGCTTTCTGGTTCTCAGTATTCTGTAAAGACAGGAAATGTAGCATTGTTGCTTTAAGGAAATGTTGTACCTGACTTGAAAGAGAAATAGTCATTAGAAGTGGCTTAAATAATATTATTGACCTTAAGAGTAAAGCTAGTTGCTTGACAAAACATTCTTTAAATGTTCCCACAAAAATGAAAAATCTGAAATCATTTACTCACCCTCATGTTGACAAAAACACAAAAATTATTTGTCTTGTGAAACGTCTGTTTTGTGAATAGTCAAACGGTCTGCGTAAATGATGATAGGATTTTCATTTTTGGATGAAAAATCCCTTTAGAGTGTACAGTCTCTTTAAAAGATATGAAAAAAAAATCGAAATATTTTGAACTCTAAACGAGAGAACGAGATATTTTGAACAAGAGATCGTTAAGATTAAACATTCACATTGTTGATTTTGCTTTCAGTAGCCTCTTCTCGCTCTGCCATTAGTCCCTTCCTCTCTACCTGTTTATCTCACTGTGAATATTTACATATTCATAAGGCTGCTTACCCTTCAGGGTGCACCTGACGTTGGTGTTGATGTGTACAGGGTTGGTAATGACAGCAACATTTACAACCAAACCAATGTCACTGATTTAACCAGTGCCATCTGCAAATTCAGCATTCGGGTTTGTCTTGGTTGTTTTTACCACAGGCACAGATCAGACAAGGCACTCAGACATTTTAAGATGTTAAAATGTCTGAGAAATAACCGGATTTCTTTCACTTTGCAGTAATAAATCACAGAGCATAAGGCCCATTAGCTTGTAGTATCAGCTGCACGACTGGAGAAACATCATTATTGGTTATTTCAGCTGAAAAATGCGGGTCACCTATGCGTACATTTTTTTTCTCTCTACTTAATCGACCGTATTTCAGTTTCTTATTCCTCCTCCTACTTTCTCGTGGTGTCACTGAGCTTTAAAGAGGCCCACAGCGCAGGGCAATTACAAAGGGTGTTGCTGATCCTCGTCTGTAGACCTAGTGTTTTCTGGCAAGGCTAGAGAGATGAGTTCACTCCCGTGCAGCCAGAGGGTCCCGCCCCCGGCCACTGTAGCCCCACAAGCTGTCCTTCTCAGTGGCAAACCTCATTAAAAATGCAGAGGGTTTTAGCTGGACTGAGTCTAAGTGTGTTTGTGTGGGTTAGGAAGCAGATGGCCCGTGGGAGAAAGGGTAAGGGGGAGAACCCCATCCCCTAGCAGATGCTAGTTTAACGAGGAGAATAAAAAGATTAGGGTAACCAACCTGGGAATGGGACTGCACCCAAATACAAAAGAAGAGAAATTACTATATTATAGTGTATATTATACAATAAAAACATATTTATTCCAATGCACACACGCGCACAGATCTGCACTGAATTTATTTGTATAGTGCATTCCCACACACTTCTGTTTCACTTCAAATAAATGTGTTCAACTTTAGCGTTTGCCATAGATGTTGTTTATAAAAAATGCTGCTGTAAATAATTTGTTTTATACTTTTATTTTGCAATCCTGTTCTGTTCTGAATACCATAGGATTTGTTTTGGAGTATGGGGAACTACAATACATATTTATAGTGTTTAAATATGTTTTATTCAGTTTACTGCTGAATATAATAGTAAAATGTGACTTGCACACTTGTATCTATTTTTCTTTCTCTCAAAAATGCAATTTTGACCCTGTGCGAATTATTTTCTGTAAAATATGGTACTTGCTTAGAGCTAAGTGAAAACAAGCATGTCATCTTTAAACCTGCTTTAAAATTGCTTTTCAAATCAACCTGCTATCATTCAAGCTTATTTTCTTGGCCTGGTCTTTTTACAATAATCTCCTGGGAGGATTTATTTTTCTTGAAGACAAAAGGTTTGAACATGTTTGCTTTGAGAAGGAATTGAGTTTACCGGGCTGCTTGTTTCAAAGATTGATTGTTCCTCTGCTATTGATTTGACTGGGTGAAACGAAATGAAATGAAGACTGCGGTTACCCTTTCGTTCATTATCGTAACCCAATCAAGCTTGTGTAAGATTTTCAACAGCCGTTTCCTTGTGCAAAAGCAAAATTCTGATGGATTAATCTGCTATTGACTTGCAAATCATTATAAAAAATACTGTGTTTTATGTAACATCTATGAAGCTTGGTACAAGCCTCTGTTTTTTTGTTTTTAATTAAGCAGTCGCCACAAACCCAGGCTACTGCTGAAGTGATAAAATGAATAGAAGGACAATGATTTCAGTGCTCTTCATTGGCGAGGTCTGGCACAATCAGTCTTTCTTTTGATTTTGCTCTGAAAGCAGAAGGAAGCGGCATTGTTCAAAGGTTGTGTGCGTCAGGGCCTAATGTTAGAAGCCAGTCAGAACTCTCAGTTCCATTTAGTTCCAATTCATTCGATTTAAATCAGCTGAAGTGGTGGTCGCAAATAGAGTTGTTACATTCCAAGCAATCTAATTTCGACTCTTATTTCGTTTTTTGGAAGGCCATTTTGCGCACTTTTTCTTGTTCTTCTGGGTGGGTGGGGTCTCTGAAGGGACTGTAGCTGGCTCAGAGACAGCTGCAGAGCTGTAGAAATGCTGATATGTTTGCCAGGCCTGAAGGGTTCAGCTATAATTCCTTTTAAATGTAGCCACTGCTACATTCCAGCACATCATCTAAGAGGTAGGAGAGACACATTTTTATTTAGCCGGAAGTGAGTCCAACATTCAGTCAGTAACAAGATGAAAGGCACAGCTGTGAAACACCAGGGAGATGTTGAAATGCAGTATATGGTCTTGATATGGAGGACTTATGTTGGCGATCTGATGCTAGAGTGAGAAAGCTGATGATTGAATATTTCATGTCTTTGACAGCTGTGTTGAGAAAGTCTTAATAGTCATTATATAGTGCATTTAACACCATTCATGTAAAAGTATGAACTGTGTGTGCATGTAAATATAAGCTGCCATCCACTTTAGAAATTTATTAAAGCTCTCTAGGCTTTTTCAAGGTTGTTCTGCACAGTGCTGTATCTAGTTCAGAACAGTGTACTTCCTCTTGATTTGACTATAATCACAGTGAACTCCACAAATGTTACTCTAAATGTATGCTTCACCCTCATCTTACCTTTCTCTTGTGAAGTCCACAAACCTTAACTATGTTCAGAGGCACTGTAGAACATCACTGAGTCACTGAAAAGCTGGTGAGATTAAGGAAAATGAGAACGAGGCACAACCTGGGGTTATGCTGGAGTAATATTACCAGGATGAATAATCCATAAAGTGTTGGCACAG